CCCATTTCATACAATAACAAACCCTAACATCCAATTTAAAAACTATACAATCATCCATAAGAAGTTTTGAACCCAAACAACAAATAAACTAAATCAATAAAATGATTTGGTAAACAAATAAACTAAATCAATAACCAAAAAGCTTTGAACCCAAACAACATAGCCTTTAGCCTAAGATGCTGGTGGTGGGCTTCAATACTGGGTGCTGCTGGGTGGTGCAGGGGTGGTGTAGTGTGGTGCTGTTTCGGTGGTGGGTGGTGCTGCGATGGTGGGTGCAACGATGGTGTAGGGTGGGTGGTGCTGCGAAGGTGGGGGTGCAGCGATGGTGTAGGGTGGTAGGTGGTGGTCTTTCGGTGGTGGGTGGTGTTGTGATAGTGGGGGTGTAGCGGTGTAGGATAATGGGTGGTGGTCTTTCGATGGTGGGTGGTGCTGCGATGCTAGGGGTGCTACGATGATGGGTGGTGGTCGCCAAAGGTGCACCTGAAGGAGGTCAGGGTGGTGTTGCTGGGTCGCCTAATTGAAGGTAGGGCAAATAATTTGGGAAAAGAAAGTGTGATGGAGAAAGAAAGAAGAGGAAATGACGTTTTTAATGATGGGTTGATTAGGTGAGCTAAGTTACAGTATTTGACTAAAAAACGTCAAATGGACCGAAAAGACCACCGCCCACCGCCCACACCTTTTTTTTTAAAGTGCATGGATTTAGCCGGCCTTCCTTCTCTTGGTAACCAGAAAAAAGGAACAAGCGGTATCCAAAACAACCCTTGTCCTAAGATATCCTCTCCAGAACGGCCTCAGTGCAATCCCCGCTTGATTCTCCACCGGCTCCCCCAAAGTTCGTGCTATAAGTTCTGCATTTTCTGTCGTTATCATTCCAGGTGGTAGCCCATGTGCTTGAATCCAAAAAGAGGTTGAAGTAAATTTGATTTCTGCTATGGAGATTTCTGGGTTCCGTTGTCTTAAAACAAGTAACTGCCCTTTGATAGACCATGGTTCCTGTTGGAGCACCTTCTGCTTTAGGTCTTCATCGGAGAATATGAATATGTATGTTTCCATGTCTCCATCCCTTATGTCCATCTTGTACTCTGCTTTCCAAGCCTTCATCACTATATCTTGACCACATTCCTATTTAGGGTTTTCCTTGAAACGATCTTTCCAACCAGGCACGATTGCCTTACGAACTTTGCTGTTGATTCATCAGGTTGAAGTTGTACTATTGGGGATTGTTTTCTTGTGTTTTCTGGTGAGATGAGAAGGTTGTGTTTGGGTTTTCCATTATGTGTGGAGCGAAGAAGAAAAAGGTTAAAAGGAGTGAGAAGAGGTTCAACAGATTGAGAAAGGGTTTAAAAGGATTGAGAAAAGGTTAAAAGATTCATACGTTCAGGCAAAACTCCACCATTTCTGGGGAGAGCGAAGTCGCCGGAGGGTAATACTTATTTGTCTCTGCTTGTGCCACTGGAAAGGCCCAAACTTCGGCGGACGGAACTTGAAGGAATCAATCGGGGTTAGTTTAGAAAAACACGGACGAAGGAAAAAAATTTCTCTTTTAAACGATATCTCTAAGTGAACAGTACATTGAATCATTTGTTTTTATTTTTTTAAAATTGTCTTAAAATTAAAACTCTATTATCTAAACAACTTTTCTTCTAATTTTTATATCCAAAAACAAAAAAACCGTTTTACAGAGAGGAAAAGCAAACAGTTTTCAGATCAAAGCTGTTTTTAAGAAATTGCTAACTCGATTTTAAAGTAAACAATATGTTCGAACACACACGCGGATAGCGATCCGCGTGCTCCGAGTAAATACGAATCTCCACGGCCCACGTCCGCAGTCCCAAATCTAACGCCACAGATTCACCCGCGCCAAACTTTCCTTCCAAAATATTTCAAAATTTCACCACCACCCTCTCTCCCTCAAACCTATATATATACCCCTCATGTCCACCTCCCCCTCCACTACCAAACCTTTCTCTCTCTAAAAATGGCCAGAACCAAGCAAACAGCCCGAAAATCGACCGGCGGCAAAGCACCCAGAAAGCAACTGGCCACCAAGGCCGCCCGTAAGTCGGCACCAGCCACCGGCGGAGTTAAAAAGCCCCACCGCTTCCGTCCAGGAACGGTGGCTCTCCGTGAAATCAGAAAGTACCAGAAGAGCACCGAGCTCTTGATTCGAAAACTTCCCTTCCAGAGGCTTGTGCGTGAAATTGCACAAGATTTCAAGACGGATCTGAGGTTTCAGAGCTCTGCCGTGGCGGCTTTGCAAGAGGCGGCTGAAGCATATTTGGTTGGTCTGTTTGAGGATACGAATCTATGTGCGATTCATGCGAAGAGGGTTACGATTATGCCGAAAGATATTCAACTGGCTAGGAGGATTAGGGGTGAGAGGGCTTGAGATTTGGTTTTGTGTTCTCGTAGTGTTTCTGGGTTTTCCCTCTGTAGAAAGTTTTATGGTCTCTTTTCAGTACTTTTCCCATAGATTTCAGGTCATATTGTTGGGTTGGAGTGATCTATTCATGCAAGAAAAATATAGGAATGAAATGAAAGCTTCTCAGCTTCTGTGTTGAACCAGTTTTTTATTATAAAACTAGTTTAAAAATAATTATCAGTTTAAAAATATAAATTATTATATGAGTGATCTATCAATTATTAAATGAGTGATCTATCAATTATTAATGTAACTAAAAATAATTGATTGAACCAGTTTTTTATTATTAAAGCTTCTAAAAATATAAAACTAGTTTAAAAATAATTGATAATTAAACAAAAAACTATCTTATTATTGATAGTTTGAATGAAAGAATAACATAAAATTAGTTTATTAAATGTTTATAGTTATAAAAAAATATAAATAATTTTATTATAATTAATATGAAATAATATTTAATGTAACTATATAATTATATTTTTTTGTATATTTTATTAAATGTTTCAATAAAAATGTTTGTGTAATGCATGTCATGTATTATTAGTAAATAAAAATTGGGTTAATTGTATTAGAGGTTTTTAAAGTATGAAATTTGTTTTATTTTGATTTTTAATATTTTAATTGTATTGTTTTGATTTTTAAAGTATTGAATATGTTTTTATGTGATTTTTTAAATAAATAATATTTAAATTATTAATAGTTTTTTATCATAAATTTTTTATGTGATATTTAAATATAGACAAAAAATAATTTGGATAATTTATTATTAAAATTATGTAATTTAAGTATTTATTATTAAAATTATGTAATTTAAGTATTTTTTTAACTAAAAATTTAAGTAAAAATTTAGTCAAGAATTATTCAAATTTTTTTATTCATATTTAAATACTAGTTATTACCTACGTTTGAAAGCACGAAATAATTAAAAAAATGATCAATAATAAATACATTTGTATTTATATCTAAAGTTAAATTATAAATATAGATGAGAGAAAAATAAATTTAAACATTGATTATTAAGGTTGTTAAGTCTAACTTGTTGATATAAATTTGATATGAATTTGACATGAACAATTATAAAATTAATACGATTATTAAATACGCATAATAAATAATTTAAACTAATGTTTAATATTTAAAATACTTTAACTATATTTTTTTTTGTAAGTTTAACACGAACATTATATGAATAATAATGATACGATACAAATAACATGATATGTAGATCACACGAATACGACATGATTGACACTTTTACTGGTTATAGTGGGAATAAACGATAGTAGTGCTAGTGAGCAATAATAGTGGTGGTGGACGACAATGATATTTGTGGTAGGTGATGGTGATCGTGGTGATAATGACAATTGCTGGTGGTATTTGTGTTGGTGCTAGTCATAGCTATGGGTGACGGTGGTGGTTGTGGGCGACAACGAATATTTTTGACTGACTGTAATGGGTGATGGTGGGTTGTGATAGTGGGTGGCAATGAGTGGTGATGAATAACAATGGTAATGGTGAGTATTAATGGTGAACGACAGTAATAGTGGGATGATGATGATAGTAATAATAAATATAAGAATGAGATAATGATGGTAGTAAGTGATAACGATAATGGGTGATGACTGCAGTGGATAGTGAGGGTGGGGTGGCCGTAGTTATAGAGTAGTGATAGCGGTGGCAACACTGGAGTGGCAACAACGTTAATGATGGTGGCAACAACAGTGATGGTAGTAATAGATGTGGTAGAGATGGTGGGGGGGGGGGGGAGGGGGGCGACAATAATGGTAGAAATGGCAGTGGTGATGATAGTAATTGTGGTGATGATAGTAATTGTTGTGATATATTTGCAGGTTAATTGCACTGTATGTCTCTTAAGAATTTATTTTTTCTATTAAATTTGAGGTATTAATATTAGTTATCGGATAAACTTTAAAGTAAATTTAAAGAAATCTTAATGGCAAAAAATAAAAATTATTTTATTTATTTTTTAAGATTTAAATTGTATTGTACTTTATTATATAGATTACATAAAAATATATTCAATATTTTAAAAACTAAAATGATATAATTGAAATATTACAAACCAAAATAGAACAAATCCCATACTTTTGAGACATACAGTGCAATTAACCTGCAAATATATTGGAAGTCATAAAAATGACAGCTCATTGTTACACAGCAATTTCAACAATACCAGTGCAATTAACCCACAAGACCAGGTTGAAGTTTATTGATCTTGACATAACTGGAAAAAAAGCAACCTAATTAACTGCATCTGATAGTAAAATGAATTGCAAGGACAACAATTACCAGTCCCCTACATCTTCACCTTGGAAACGATAACTTTAATCAAATTATAATGAGACAGTTACAATATTACACATTTGAAAATGGTGTTGGGTGTACTGCATACTGGAAGTTCAGTTAAAAACATTCTCTTTTTTGTCCAAAACGCTCTAACCTCAATTGAACTAGGTCATCTTCCCCCCACTTCATCTTCACTTGCTCTGGATTTTGTTGTCTCCGTATTTCAAACACTAAGGCACATCAGCGGAAACCAAATAAGATTAGGAAACAATCAGACTATACTTGGTGCGTCTCCTTCCCAGTTGCAAACAGCACGGGACCACCGCGTTCTAATACAGTCAACCAAAGGTGCATGCTGAGCAGGCTCCGGTTTAGACACTTCAACAACAGTATCTTTCACGGTAGAGTCATTTCCACCTGGACCAGAGGGCCCTGCTGTCATGAATTCCTCAGGAGTCCACCTTGGGGGAACTGAAACCCTCAGTTTTGTAAGTCTTGGTCTTTGTATTGGAATCTCACTTCCAGGAGATGCCTGACTGCCATTTGAAACTGACTTTGCAATTCCATTAAAGTGGTAAAGATCAAATATCTTTTTTCCCATTAATCCAGTTGAATCTTTTAAGCCTCCTAAACTCTTGTCTAAATCCAAAAGCACCTGCCAGAACTCACTCCACACGATAAAGCCTGCACTGCAAAGGTGGTCAAGCTTCTCTGCTGGAAGGTTAATATTTGTTTCCTTGACCACTTGATTAAAGCCTTCCACACTAATGAATCCACCACCTCCGCTTTGATCTTGTGCATCAAAAGCTCTCCGGACTTGCGTTTCTCTCCCTTCAAGTTCATTCTCCTCTTGAACTTTGCTATCAAGAGCAAACAGGACTGTATAATGAGACTCACTTCCAACAACCCATATTGGCCACTTGGGGCATTTCAGATACTGGCCAACCTTGCAGAAGTTGAGGGACTCTAATAGAGTGAGGAATCCAACTTCTACAGTCGTCGAAATGCCCTTCACAAACATGCCACCACCCAAGTCCATCTTACCATCAAACACATTAGCCACAGCCTGCCCACAGAGCAGTAGGTTTACAATTTCCTGTTACATGACAGCCAAGGTAGGACATAATGTCGTATAGTTACCCAAGAAAATCATACAAGTGTTCATGGAGATCATATAACACAATCAAACAACCAAAATATCAAATGAAGAAACTGGTGTTTAACTTAATCTGTGAATACCTGTGAAGCATGCCCAAATGGAGCAGTGACTAATGGTTGACTGGGGTCATCCCTGTCATCTTGAACAGAGTCCTGACAAATTTAGAGCAAATTACAAGCATTAGTAAAAAAAACCCAGAAAGGAGGTGACCATAACTGCTCTTAAGTGCATTTTACCTGCCTACTGCCTAGTTACCCTGCTACATAAAGGTTAAGTAAGAAACAGAGATGCAGATGAATGTAATGTGTGTAGAGATGAAGGCTAGTATTGCAATTCTAGAAAGAAGTACCATTGTTTGACAAATGTCAAGCACATTTGAGTTCCTATTTTTCCTTTGCAAGCCACTTGAGATTGTTTCAGCACAGAATAATAATTGTTTTCTCACTGTTAAATTACATGTTTACATATGAGCATCCCATTTTATAGTTTGGAATCACCAGGATCAATGCAGAGTGGATGGAATATGAATTAACGACCCTCACAAGAGCTTCAAAGAATTTTGCAACCATGACTTTAAACTTACAGGAGACTGAAATCAGGAAAATTGGTTTGATCACAGCAGGACCCTGGATGAAATTTCAACTATAATCTTTTTTGTGTGCTTTCAAGTATTTTGATCAACTTACCAGTAGGATAGTAGTGTTATGTCAATGAACTTTGACATGTTTAGGGCTTTTGTTTTGCAGGGTTATTAAAGGATCTATTATGTACTAGGGACTATTTCTTCTTCCTCTGGGAATGTTGCATTTTAACTCTAGTTTTATGGTATATTGTATCTGTATTTCTCTATTTTTCTGCACCATGAGTTCTCAGCAGGAGCAATTGACAGGACCAACTTATCTGACTCTTCATCAGACAGTGAAACATTCATAGGCTACAAGAACAATTGACTGGTACCTCAATTTTCTCCATTTTAGAGCATGAACATTAAAGACACTGTCTTGAAAATAAAAAACAAAATCAATTCCCATTTTTCTAACAAACAAATAAAAAACAAAATAGGTCACTTTCATGTAAAAATTTTGCAGTGTTCATCTCTCTTAACTCCTTTTATCACCAACAAAGCGAAAACAAAATAATACTCTTGTAAAAATTTTCAAGTGCTAAATTCGATAAACTCCAAATCTCTGAAATTGCCGAACTCCAGGTGATTCCAATTATGCGACAGCAACCATAAAGGTCATTCACCTTGCAAGATAACTGAAAAGTGGCATGATAAAAGATCATTTTCTATCCACTCCTCAGTTAAATAATAACAGTCCAAAAAAAAAAGAAACCAATAATCACGTGTCCGCCAGTGATTCTTCTCTCGTTATCCCCTTAATATCCCCCGGTCCATACATTTGTCAGATAACAGTCTTAAAATGCTCCGATAATGCTGAAACCACCCACTAGAGTCATGTATACATGGTACAATATATTCAGCCATGAAAGTCACAAGTCTATCAAATAACCAGAGGTTCATTTTTTGGCACATTTTTAATTCAAGCAAAAAGAACACTGATAAGCCATGGCATAGTGATCATATGTCTCAAGTAGAATGAAAAGGGATCACGAGTACTTGCGCTTGCATGTTAGTCAAATCCTTTTGTAAATCATTTCCATTTAATTGTTTTCTTACATCATGTCAAAAAATCTTATCTACCTCTTTATCCTCTATTCACCCTTTTTCATCACTACAATTGGTTTCTTATATACCGCTTCAAAGCCATATATTCACACTCCAATCCAGTTACCCAAATAGTTGAATGATAAAATTGATATTAGGGTTTATGAGGGAAAAAAGAAGGAAGGAAGAGAGAGAGAAAGAGATGAGAAATAATCAGTTGTGTAGGCAATATTGCCCTAAACTATCTTATTTGTAATAAATTGACATTATGAGCAATTACATTATTACCCTACACTACTAAGAATCCAAAATAAGAACTCCAACATTCCCCCTGAACCTGGAGCATACAAATAAAAAATGTCCAGCATAGAACAAAGATTGCTGAAGATAGATTGAGCCAATGGTTTGGTAAGGATGTCACCCAACTAACCACTAGACTTGATGAATGATGTGATAATCTCCATACGCATCAAGAGATCTCGAATAAAATGAAAATTCACTTCAATGTGTTTAGTCCTTTCATGGAATACCGGATTACTAGGTATGAAAATAGTTGCTTAGTTGTCACAATGCATTTCTACGGGAAAGGGAAAGGGCACACTAATACCTATATCACAAAGTAGTGAACGAACCCAGAACATCTCACACGCAGTATGAGCCATGACTCAATATTTAGCCTCTGCACTCGAACAAGCAACCACATTTTGTTTCTTGCTACGCCAAGTAATAAAATTACCACCAATAAATGTATAATAACCTGAAGTAAATCGTCTATCAGTACGACTACCAGTCCAATCAGCATTAAAAAATCCAGTAACAATTATGGAGGATGAAGGGCAATATAATAATTCTTTACCCGGTGCATCTTTCAGATACCGAATAATACGACAAACAACCTCCCAATGAGACTCACGAGGAGCATACATGAAATGATTAACCACACTAACAACATAGGTAATATTATGACATGTAACTGTAAGGTAAATTAACTTACCAACTAACCTTCAATAATACCCTACATCATCAAACACTTTACCACCACTATCAGCATCCAAAAAACCATGGAGTCCATGGGAGTGTCAGTTGGACATTCACTAAGAGTACTAGTTTCAGATAATAAATCAAATATATACTTTTGTTAGCACAAACTGATACTATTCTTTGATCGAGCAACTTCAATCCCAAAAAACACCAAAGAAGGCCTAGATCTTTAGTATGAAACTGTTTTCCCAAATGAATCTTAAAGTGGACAATACTATTTAAATCATCACCACTAATGATAATGTCATCAACATACACAATAAGAATAATAACACCTATGGCAGAACAACAAATAAAAATTGAATGGTCTGAAATAAAACTCTGAAAACCATACTGAAAAACAACAGAATAGAACTTAATTCAACACGCGGTGATTGTTTTAGACCATATAATGCTTTTTTCAGACAATACACAAACTATTCCTTATTAGACACAACATAACCTATAGGTTGTACTATATACACGTCTGGTTGTAGATCTCCATGTAAAAAAACATTTTTAATGCCCAGTTGATACAAAAACCAATCACAAGTCATGACAACCAAAATAAGAACTCTAACAGAGTTAAGATGAGCATAAGAGAGAAAGTCATATAATAATCCACACCATAAGTCTACGTGTAGCCTTTGACAACCAAACAGGCCCTCAGACGCTCAACTAAACCATCAGGATGATACTTCACTGTGTAGACCCAACAACTACTGTCTGGCTGTTTACCAAAGAGAAAAGAAGTAAGGTCCCATATCTGATTCTCATTAAGGGCTTTCATTTTCTCATCCATAGCCAATTTTCAACCAGGAGATGCCAATACCTGTTTCAAATAACTAAAAAAAATACCAAAGATAGAGTCGATGTAAAACAACGAAAGGATGGTGAAAACCGATGCAAAGAAATAAAATTAGAAATTAGATGCTTTGAACAATTACAGGTACCTTTCCTCAATAAAATAGGCAAATCAAAAGATGATGAACTATCTGACAGCTCAGGAGGCAAGACTTCAACAGAATCAGGTGATAATTATGGAGCTGAAGCATATTGAATAACCTGTCTATCCTTGGAATGATGATAAATCTGCAATGGAAGAGCAAGACTCGGGCAGGAAGAAGAAACACAATAAGCAACAATGACTCCCCTGACTGGGAAAGACTAAATTTGAGAAAAGTGTGTTGCTTGACACAGAAATAACGAAGATGACTAAAAAAGGTGACATTAGTACTAATATAATATTGATGAGAAACAGGGTCATAACAGCTGTTAGAGTTCTTATTTTCTACATTAAGTTATAAGTTAACTAATGTAGGGTAATATTGTAATTTCCCTAAACATTACTTAGTTATAAATAAGAACGTGTAGGGAAAATGAGCCAACACATAGTAGATTATTCTACTTCTTTTTTTTCTTCCTTTTTACCTTGTCTTTTTCTCATAAATCCTAATACCGCTTCTATTATTTTAAGTTGGTATCAGAGCACTAATCCGACAACTAAAATATTACCAAAGGACATAGTAGAAGGTTGCCCTTTTTTTTCCTATTCTCGACGCTGCTGACTAAGATGACATCATGCTGATGTCATCAACATACGAACTCCAAAACTCACCCACATGCTCAATTGATAATTATGATAATTTTTGTTTATTTTTTTGAAATTATCTGATTAGGGTTGCTATATTTGAATGATTGTTGAAATATTTGGCTAAATTGGTAGATCTGCTGATATTGGCTAGTTTGAGGGTGTTTTTTGGTTTGATTTGCACCAAGTAGGTGCGACCAATGTTATTTAAGGCATAAAGAAAACCAAAACGACCAAGGCTCTTGACACTAGGCGAGAAGCAAGAGGCAAAGCAAAACGCTTCATCGAAACGAAGTGAACAGTAAAAAAAAAATAAATATTTTAGTTTAATTACTTCTAAATATGCAAGTTCTTATTTTACAAATACTAAATATTTAAATGCACGCAAGACCAAAATAGGGTGCAAAGAACCGAAAGTCCTTCTTTTAAGTTCCTCTCAGATACATGACTTACATACCCGACTCAGCATTCTTGGAAAACAATCGAATCGAGAGTCCCGAAAAGAATTGACCATTCAATCTTGTGAACTAATGGAGACCGAAATTGGAGAAAGAGAAACTACCGGAAAGGAATAACCAATTGATGAAAGAACATGAAACATTCTGTTTCAATAGAGGTATGAGAAACGGTTGGGGGCAATGAAGTAGGTGAAGTGGTTTGATTTTGTGGGAAGTGCTCCAACCACTGCTAGATGTGATTCCAAGAGCCGAACAAGAATGAATACCACACAGAAGAGTCAAGACCAAGCTCCCTAATGAAATGTTTAACCGATCCATTCTGGATTGATCGAATTGGTACATAAGTTGTAACATGGGAAAACCACAAAAAACACAACTTATTTGAATAACCCGGTGACATACCAATTGTAGAAG